GGAGCGAGGGCGGCGTGAGCGCCTTCGTCTGGCGTGGAATATCAGCCCCCATCCGGCAGGGACGTTATCACTGCTGGCCGGGACACCGCCGCGCCCGCACCTTTCCGTCCGAGTCCGCCAGTGTGTGCGTGAGTGCGTGCGAGAGCGGTCGTGTGTGGCTGGCTCCGCGTCCGTTCATTCGTTCCTCTGGACAAGATAAGAGCACGTGTGTGTTTCACTCCTTCCTCGGCAGGTGTCAGGTGAGTTTATTTCGAATGCGCTCTCGGGAGTGCTCGTGCCGCGGGTTGGAACATTGCACTTTCTGTATCAGTGTATATCCATTTAACGATTTTTATACGGCGAGAATCCCTGCATTGGGGTAATACGCTGGGCAAACTTTAAAGGGCGGTTGTGAGGAGCATTTGTGCGGGAGCTCCGTTTCAAAGCCTGGCGCTGGCTGCTAGCACTCCCTTCTTTCGCGTTCAATTGGGAAAATATTTGAAATTTCCGCCGCATACCGATATCAGCGAGCCGATGATGGCATGCACAAATATCCCCCAAACAAAGAAAACTGAAATGGAAAGAATAACTAATGGGGTTCTCCTAGACTCGCCCCGAAAAACACGCATTCAAATTCGATTCCCCTGACGGCTTGAGCGCACAAAATCCTCGGCCTTTTTGCGCAGAAACGTTATTCGCCGTCGCCAGAGGACTCGTGGAAGGGCTGGACAATAAACCAGCGACGGGGAGGAGCCGCGTCGTGGAGGCGCCCATGCTCCCCCGTTGCTACTGTTCAACTTTAATGTGACTGTTGCTACCATCCCTGAGTCTGGTGCCGGCCGGTGTGCGACGCTCATTTGCGCTCTTCTCGGGCTATTTGCCGGCATTTCTTGGTAGTTTTACATTGAGTAGATTCCGAACTCCGTGTTGTTTGGATTCCTGTCCCTTTGATCCGTGGCTGTGAAGTATCTCGGGTACTGTTGCAATGTATCGTTTTTTCTTGTGTTAGTTGACGTGATGGCCGCTATCATTCAGCATTAAACGACGTTACCAAGATTTAACAGCATTTCCCGGGATTCGTAAAATAAATCACCCTAATTACTATAGAATCACTGGTTCAGATAAAACCCTTTATCGTGCAATCGCTCCTTCTGTCTATCACGCGCAACCGAAACCTTTATCTCTTCGCATTCCGGACTTTAAAAAAAAGTCTTGTCGCAAATATACGAGATAATGAGATAATGTTGCAAGCGAGGTAGTCACAGTAGCTTCCAGCCTTCGAGATAAACACTGGCGGGACCAGAAGAGCTTTGAACAGGAAATACCTAACTCCTCAAGGCCAGTTTGATATCAGACCTCAAGACTAGCAGGCTACAGCGACAACAGCAGTACCTATGGTGGGTTTCGATTTACATTTGCGTGGAGTGATGTGTGTGTGTGATATGATGTAGTGTTGTTGGGCTACCGGAGGTGTTTGGGGTATGTTGTTGTACGAGATGGTGTGTGTGTGGTATTCTGTGTGTGTCGGTGTGGCGGAGGCGTGTATGTGGTAATGAGTTATGAAGTGAACTGATAGTGCATTCCCGTACGCTGGCTGTGATGTGGCGATGATAACAACTACCACACGGCGAAGGGGGTGGAGAAGCTGTGGTGCGAAGATGACTTGTAAAACACTGATAACGTCAGGAGATCGGGATAGAACGCTGCCATTTTACGACAGATAAAAACACAACCACCAAAAGACTTATCGATCGCACTCAGTCTGTCAAACCGTCACGGGTAAATGGAACACAAATGTAGTGCCCTTCCCCCACCCACGAAAGAGGGGAGGGGAGGGAGGGAAGAAGAGAGGGGGAGGGGAGGGACTGGATGGAGGGGGGAGGAGAGGAGAGGAGGGGAGGCTGGATGGGGAGGGGGGAGGAGAGGGGAGGAATGGATGGGAGGGGGGAGGAGAGAGAGTGTGGGGGGGAGAGATGAGAGGACGGGATAGGAAGGTTGGCGAGAGGAGGGGGGGAGGGGGGAGTGTCATGAGTGGTGCATGATGGAATTGTGTCACGGAAGCCAAGGTCGACGCCCCCCCCCCCCCACAAGGACGAAACGTGCACACGAGCGACTCTGGTACTGTGTGCGCGTATGTAAACGTGTGTGTGTGTGTGTGTGTGTGTGTGTGTGTGTGTGTGGTGTGTGTGTGTGTGTGTGTGTGTATGTACGTATGTGTGTTTGTTTGTGTGCCTGTGCGTGTGCACGTGTGCATTTGTGTGTACGTGCATGTGTACGCATGTGTGTATTTGTTTGTGTGCCTGTGTGTGTGTACGTGTACATTTGAGTGTGTGTACGTGCACGTGTACGTATGTGTATGTACGTCCATGTGTACGTATGTGTATATACGTCCATGTGTACGCATGTGTGTATGTATGTGCATGTGTACGTATGTGTGAATGTACATGTATATGTACATGTGTGTATGTACATGCATGTGTACGTATGTGTGCATGTACGTGCATGTGTACGTATGTGTGTATGTACGTGCATGTGTACGTATGTGTGTATGTACGTGCATGTGTGTGTGTACGTGTGTATGTAAGTGCATGTATAAGTGTGTGTACGTACGTGCATATGAGTGCGTGTGTGACCGTGTTCATGTATAAGCGTTACATATGTGTGTCCATGTATGTGTACTTGTGTGTGTGTTTACGTGTGTATGTATGTGTATGTTTGCACGCTCGCCCGCATGTGTGTGCGTATGTACATGTGTACTTGTATGTGTGTACATGTGTGCGTATGTGCATGTGTACGTGTGTACATGTATGTGTGTACGTGCATGTGTATGTGTGTACATGTGTGTACGTGCATGTATGAGTGTGTGCATGTGTACGTGTGTGCATGTGTACGTGTGTACATGTATGTGCGTAAGTGTGTACATGTGTGTGTATGAATGGAAAAACACTCTACCGTGTTGATACTATGGTAGAAAACCCCACAATGCACAACTAGATTTATTGAGGAAACTGAGACAACAGTTTCGGAATCGTCCTCGATTCCGTCTTCGAAGATGGAATCGAGGACGATTCCGAAACTGTTGTCTCACTTTCTTCAATAAATCTAGTTGTGCATTGTGGGGTTTTCTACCTTGTGTGTATGCATGAATGTGTGTGTGTGTGTGTGTGTGTGTGTGTGTGTGTGGTGTGTGTGTGTGTGTGTGTGTGTGTGTGTGTTGTGTGTATGCATGAATGTGTGTGTGTGTGTGTACGTGTGTGGTCGCGCGCGTAAGGATATCGGGCCATGGGTGCGTTTTTGGGGCGTAAAGATAAGGAGATAGAGGCTGACTGGTAAAGAGCGAGAGCGCTCGGACACCTGTTGGCGAGCGAGTCCCGGATGCTGTGCGAGCGAGTGTGACCCCGAGGGTGAGCGTCAAAAGCGTGAAATGGTGCTTCAGTGCTCCTTGCAGTGGTGCTCAGCTGCTGTCCGCGTCAAGGGTTCAAATATGGCGGGAAAAAACCGAGGGATGCTGAGGGCAGGATGTAGAGATCATGTTCAGCAAGGATGGCGTCAGCGAAGAGGGACAGGCTAGGCCGTGCCTGCCTGCGTCTGTGGCAGGGGCTTTTTTAGGATAAAGGCGACGGCCACGTCAGGGCGATCAGGGGGTACAGGTGGTGACTTCGCGGCCCGGTCGTGGAGGCACACCCGAGAAAGAGCTCAGCGGCGCGCGTCACGAAGCGCTCATCTCGCATGCAAATCTCCCTCCCCTTCCCGGCGTCACAGCCTCTCCGCCGCTCCTGCCGGGGCATCCGCGCACTCGGTCACGGCCCCGCTCGACGGCAGGACGCACGCTGAAGGTAGTCCGCAGACAGGATGTAGGCGAGAGTAGGTTATGAGATCCCTCGGCGTGTAGGATTCGCAGCCTTGAGTGTGTTTACAGGATGCCGGACAGAAATTGGGTTGTTGGTGCGAGCGCCCTCTCCACGGCACCAGGTATGGGTGTGAGCAGTGTTTCCTTTCATCGCGGGAGCTATTATGGGCGTACCTCTCAGCCAAGCCTCGGGGGGCCGCCCGCCCCGCCCTCAGCTGGGTACAGAGGCGAACACGCATCGCGTCGAACTCCCTCGGATAATCTCTTCTCGAAGATAATGACGCTTGTGTAACGCCCGGCTGCGTCGGATGGCTCGGCCCTGGGCCTCGCTCGGCTGGGAGGCGCTATATATATATATTATATAATATATATATATATATATATATATATATATTTTAACACATAAGTGTGTGTGTGTGTGTGTGTGTGTGTGTGTGTGTGTGTGTGTGTGTGTGTGTGTGTGTGTGTGTGTGTGTGTGTGGGTGTCGTGTGCGTGCGTGCGTGCGTGCGTGCGTGTGCGTGCGTGTGCGTGCGTGGTGCCTGCGTGCGTGCGTGCGTGCGTGAGCCTGCGTGCGTGCGTTGTGCCTGCGTGCCGTGCGTACGTGTGCCTGCGTGCGTGCGTACGTGTGCCTGCGTGTGTGTGCGTGCCTCTGTGCACGATGTGTTTATGTATGTATGTGTGTATATATAATTCTGTGTATGTCATTTTGCTGTATGTATGTAATGTATGTATGTACATATTTTTTTATGGAAGCATGCATATAGTTTTTATGTATGTGTTTTTATAGTTTTCGTATATGTACGTATATAATTTTACATGCATGTCCGTATATAATTTATATGTATGTATACTTACGATTTTGTATATATGTATGTGTATAATTCTGATTGTGTGTGTGTGTGTGTGTGTGGTGTGTGTGTGTGTGTGTGTGTGTGTGTGTGAGAGAGAGAGAGAGAGAGAGAGAGAGAGAAGAGAGAGAGAGAGAGAGAGAGAGAGAGAGAGAGAGAGAGAGAGAGAGAGGAAGGTCTCCTTGGCCACAGGTAAAGCGCGGCCTACAGATGCTCCCAAATAATAACTGCAATGCCTCTCTCCGAAGGGCAGTCGCCAGAATCCCCAGCGGGTACACAAGCCCCCCCCCCCCCCCGAGTCCGCGGCGCCCCTCCTGCCCCTCCTCCCCTCCTGCCCCTCCTGCACACCTAGAAATGCACCAGCCCTATCTTCTATAGTGCTGAGTCGGTGCGGCGGGACTCTCACTAATTCCATTGCCTTGGCACAAAAAATATGGGGAAATATTTGTTGTATTACATGCTGCAGGTAGAGGTTTCTCTTATATAATGATATCGGTGGACGAAGCTACAACTTTGGCGGTTTATGGTGTGGGTGAAATCTCATTTGCCGGTGGCCGAGTGTCCGAGCTTACACTTATTGGAAAGGGAGTGTGTACTCGGGCTTAGCATTCTAACATTAGGGCAACCGAGAATGTTCCCAACTTTGGCGAGGCGGAAAAAAAGTAAAAAGTATGGTGCCAAGCGTCGGAGAAGGTGCTGGCGGGTGCCATTGTGCGCCTGGGGGTGTAAAAAGGGCCAGCGCCGGGTGTGCGGGGGTGTGTGGCATGTTCTTAGCGAGTGTATGGTATGTGTATGCGAGAGCGAGTGCGCCAGGCCAGCTGTGGGGATCGATGGCGGGAAATTCGGACACAAAACGGAAGAGGAATCGGTTTTTAATGCACTTCAGCATCCCACACACACACTCATTCACTCTGAACATAAATTTTATCTATGCCTCCCCCCTATATCTCTCTCTCTCTCTTTCTCTTCTCTTATTCTCTCTCTCTTCTCTCTCTCTCTCTCTCTCTCTCTTCTCTATATATATATATATATATATATATATATTATATATATATATATATATATATATATATATATATAACCAGTTCCCTCTCTCCTCCTCTTCCCTCCCTCCCCGTCTCCGTCTCTATCTCTGCACCGCACACCATCAGAGTCCAAAGAGCTGGCGAAGTTGCACGACACATCACTCCGCCAGTCAGATCTTGGCATAAAGATCAAGGGAGCCAAAGATACGTGCATGAAATCGATATGAACATTTTATTTGCTCTCTGATTGTTCCCATAAGATCACAGGCATACAGACATACACCCACACCCACGCATACTTATCTACATACACACAGAACCAGAAATATTCACCTACACATGCACATGTACACACAGGGTATATGTGTATCATATGAGTAAAATGTATGTACGCCTCAGACGTTCGACAAGATGGACGAGGAGCGGCCGAGCCCGAGCGAGCACTCAGCGCAGGAACAGGTGCCCCTTATCAGCTGCTGAACACTTGCGTTCTTTGACTATTTTTTTGGATCCGTTTGTTTGGAGGAGCCGTAAACACGGTGTCAAAATAACCCGCGAAAACAATCTGCGTGATCGCCGCGGCCGCATCTCTGCTGCAATTGCTCCTGTTGAAGAGTCTGAGCGCTGCATTCCGCGAACGGCAATTGCAGCAATGTTAATTTCATTGCGAGCCTTTTCAGTGCCAGCCTTTTGCCGAGCAGCTTGGATCGCGCGTGAGACCTCGGCCAAACGTCACCGCGAATGATCTTATGTCATTTGATTTAAATATCTGATTCTACTGTTTATTCCGCGCGTTGAGTCATCACGAGGAACTGGGCAGGTCGTGGCGCCCGCGCCGCGTCAGAGTCACGTTCTGGCCGCGGGCGGGCGGATGAGTTCATCGCGGGCGTCGAGAGAGAAGGCTAACGAGTATAAACCGACGTCGTCTTTTAGGCCCGGGGGAAGCGCCCCTTCGGAGAGATGGCTAAAATAACGACGAGCCTCAGGCCACGTGTTCGAACGAGCCTCGGGTCGGCAGGGCATGTGACTTAGGGCATCGGGAATCGCGATGTCTGAGGATCACTGATCGCATTCGCACGAAACGACGCGATATTGACGGGCGGCGCTTCTGCCGGGGCCAACAGTCGCCGGTTGTTTCGGGCTACAGCGCCCTTCCTGCCGTCGGGCGGGTCGGTGTCCAAGGCCGTGAGTCATCGGCGCCCATCGGCTGCCAAGCACTGCCTTCCGCTTCCTTGTTTGGGACGCGACGGCGGCCATAAGGAAAACAATAACAGAATGATCTCTTTCAGAAGAATTGCGAGGCGACGGCGAGAGACCTGTTGTGACGTATCCTGACCTCTCCCCTTCCTCTCGTCGTGACCTTTGACCTCTTGGCCATGGAGGATTGTAATGGGGATGTGCAAGGTATCTGGGGATTCTCATTTCCACGCTTCTCTCTCTCTATCTCTCTCCGCGCTTCCGTTGGGCAGCCGGTGCTTCTCTCCGCCTCTGCCAGGGCTCTCGGCCTCCCTCGGCCTCCGCTGGCCTTTCATGGCGCTTCTTTTCCTCGTCCCTTCCTCCCGGAGACGGCCCGGCGCTGTGGCCTCGAGCCGCGGAGCCTGCCTTGGCTCTTTTACTGTTTATTCGTGTCTCCAGCTGTTCTTCGCTATTTTCTTCTAGGCCTTGGTACCTTTATGAGCACAGGGAGCTCAGAACTCAGTTGGTAAGCTGTAGTAATGCCCCAGGACATGGGATTAGCCAAGAAAGGCACGCACGGTTAAAAATGAGTGTAAAGAAATATCTAAATTGTCTATAAAGGCGTCTCGTTCTAACAAAATTGATTGTTAGAGTTTACGTCAGTTCGGGCAGAAGAGGAACTGTCCCTTTAACTTCAGTCGACGCCTTTAGACACTTTAAGCACTCTATTTTTAATGCATGCCTTTCCTCTTTCTCGCGCACAGCTGTACATCCTTCCCATTCCTGGATAGTGATGTCTGGACACGGGATAGGGATAGGCCTGTAATATAATTTGTGTTCTGGGGGAATACTTTAACACCGTGCTTCTGTTTTGCTTTTTTTTCTGAGCTTCGCATTGAAGGAGTAAGTCTTATTTCTGCCTCTGTCTGCATTGCCTCTTTGTCTGTGTCCATTTCCCTCTTTGTCCCTTTTCTCTCGTTCTCCTTACCCCCTCATCCATCCTGTCTGTCTGTCTGTCTCTCACGCACTCACTCAAACCGTCACTCTCTTCGTCTCTCCTCTACTCCCTCTCCAACTATCTCCCTAGCTCCCTCTCTTCTTCCGCTCGTTCTATCCCTCCTGCCTCTCTTCATCTCTCTCTTTCCCTCTCCATTTTTCTCTTTCTAATTCTTCGCTTTTCTTCCCGTATCTCTTCTTTCCCCTCCATTCTCCCGGTCTCTCCCCCTCTCTTTTTCCCTCTTTCCTTTACCTCCCTTCCCCTCCTTCCTTCTATCTCTCCCTTCCCTTCCCTTTTTCTCTCTCTCTCACTCCCTTCCCCTTTCCTTCTCCCTCTCCCTTCCCAACCCTCTCTCTCTCCCTCCCATCTCTCTCTCTCTCTCTCCTTTCCCTGAATCTCTCTCTCTCTCTCTCTCTCTCTCTCTCTCTCTCTCTCTCTCTCTCTCTCTCTCTCTCTCTCTCTCTCTCTCTCTCTCTCTCTCTCTCTCCTCTCTCTCTCTCTCCCTCCCTCCCTCTCCCTCCCTCCTCCCTCTCTTTCTGCCTGTCCCTAGCCCACTCTTTCCCTTCTCTCCCTCTCCGCCTGTCCCTAGCCCACTCTTTCCTTTCTCTCCCTCTCTCCCTGTCTGTCTCTCTCTCCATCACCGTATCTTCCCTTCTCCGTTGCGCTGCTTTGGGCGAAAGGACCGACAGACGAGCTTCCACTGGACACCTTAGGAACTTTAAGAATCTAACTCCCATATATTCAGACCTTACAGATAAACCTTTTTTTCCCCCAGTATTATGAATTAAGAATCTAACTCCCATATATTCAGACCTTACAGATAAACCCCTTTTCCCCCCCAATATTATGATTTAAGCAAACGGCAGCTACTAACTTGTAAGTATTTTGAGCTTGGGCAGCGTCCTGGGGGTGTTATACAACAGGTGTGCTAGGAACAGCTCAGGTGTCACACACGAACTATGAACCAGTTTTGTGGACAAGCTTCGCCTCTTGCTATGCTGTGCTATGTGGCATTTCCCTCTCCAGTGGGTTATGCCTGGGTAGTGTTGGTATGGCATTCAGGGCATTGGGGTGAAATAGACCTGGTGGTATAACGCTTTGTGCGATCTGTAGATTCATGGGATCCGAGGTACGGGTTCCTTGCAGGTGGTGTACTGTCATGTCCTTCCCTGTGCGTTGTGTGTGTCAGTATTATTTTTGTGTGAATGGTCACTATTTACAGTATTTATGATTATGCTAGTAAGTAATGATAACGTTATTAGTGATAATGATAATAGTATTAATTGGAAAGGTAATAAGGATGATGATCATGTTGACAGACAATATGAATGATGATAATGATGGTGACAACAATAAAAATGATAGTATAAATAAGTTCGATAAAGATAATAATGCAACAATAGCAATATAATAATGATGATAATCATAATAAAGATGGTATCGAAAATGATCATGATCAGTTTCATCGTAGCCAATGATTACATTTATGTAAAACGATTCCGCTGTTGATAATGGTAATAATCACAAAGATGATAATGTTAACATTAATGATAACAATAATGATTATAAAGATAAAAATAGTTATCATGCTGGTACTACGACTAGCGTCACTAAAATTTAAATTCAAGAAAATTAACAACATTCTTCTGAACTTTATCCTGCGAATTCTGCTTAAGTATGCTGAATAATTCTTATGATTTTGCGAGCGCGGGCGTACTGGCATACTTGTAGCCGGGGCGGTGAGGCGTGTTTCTCCCACTGAATTTGATTCTAACAAATAAAGCTATTAATGAAGACCAACAGAAAAGAGCAAAGGCCAACACAAAACCACGGGATTTCGGTGCCCCCGAAATCGCCCTTCTTGGCCGACTCTTTGGGACTTTTCCGATTCGAGGAAGACGCTGCCTCCGCCCCGGCCTCGTTCGCCCGCGCCTCACTGCTTCTTGTGCCGCTTCCGAGTGCCGCGTGAATGAGATGTGTGGGGGGGATGCAATCGGATTGCGGTGCTGGAGTGACTATTCTCTGCACTAAGTGTTTCAAAGGGAGAGACTGGTTGATGCTGGGCGACTGAGTTGAGTGAGTGGCAAGAGCAGGAGTCGAGCCTTTTCCCAACGGCGCTTTTTCTCGTTGCAGTCGAGCAGGCGGAATCGGCCGAGGCGTCGCAGCCCACGCTCCTTCTGAACGGCGAGGCCCTCCAGAGCCACCAGGTGGAGGAACTGACCGGGTATTCCGGCGGAGGAACGCCTGTCGACGGCCGAGTTGAGGAGCTGCGGGAGGAAGTGCAGGACCTGGTGGTAGCTGAGGAGGAGTCCGACGAGGAGGAGCTCTGTGGAGAGGAGGAAGAGGACGAGGAAGACGACGACGAGGAGTACGACGAGGACGACGACGACGAGAATTCCGCTGAAGACCTCGAGGAAGAAGAGGATGAGGAGGAGGAGCTAGTCAAGAAAGCGCAGGAAGAGGAACGGAAAAAGAGAGCGCAGGAGGAGGAAGAGGCCAAGAGAGCCAAGCAGGAGGACGTGATCAAGAAAGCCCCGAAGGAGGACCTAGTCAGGGAAAAGCGGGAGGCCGACCTCATCGAGGAGCGGCCGCGGAGGAACCAGGACTCGCCCAAAATCGGCGTCAAGCAGAGGATCGAGGAGGCCACGCGGAGGGCGGAGAACGAAGAGAGGAAACAGGAGAAGGAGCTCGAGAACCACAGACAGAAGGCCAACAACAACATGGCGGACGCGAAGAAGAGCAGATTCGTGAGTATCGCTTCCCTTCGTCTTCCCTTTGTCGCCGTCACGTTCGCGCTCAGGGCCGCGGGGCGTGATGTTTGCGGCGCTCTTGGTTTTGTGAACATTACTTAAGGATCAGATTAAGTGTGTGTCACCAATGGCTGATGAAGCAGTCTTTGGCCGCCGAGGTGAAGGTTACAGGCAGGGGGACGCGCGCGCACGCACACCCACGCGCTCTGTCACGCTCACATATAATATACAATACAATCAGCACGCGCACACGCACACAGCACACGCACACGCACACGCACGCGCACGCACACGCACACGCACACACGCACACGCACACGACGCACACAAACCACACACACACACACACACACAACACACACACACACACACATTGTAATACATGCTCACTCACTCACTCTTCTCTCTCTCTCTCTCTCTCTCTCTCTCTCTCTCTCTCTCTCTCTCTCTCTCTCTCTCTTCTCTCTCTCTCTCTCTCTCTCTGCCCTCTCCCTCATATATACATATATATATATATATATATATATAATATATATTATATATACATATACATATATACATATATATACATATACATATATACATATATATATTATACATATACATATACATATATATAATATTATACATATACATATATACATATACATATATATACATAACATATACACATATACAAATAGACATTGTATATATATATACATATTAACCAGTCATAATATAGTATGTATATATATACATATGAACGTGGAGTCAATAGAGAAAATGAAGGAAAATGAGAATTAACTAATAATTATAAATAAGTACACACTATTGACTAGAAAATAAGGTAAAGGGGTGAAAGGGAGTGAGAGAGAGAAAGACGAGAAAGGGGGATGGGAAGGGAGAGAGAGGAAGAAGAAAGGGGGAGGCGAAGGAGAAGTGGAGAGAGAGAGAAAGGGGGAGGAGGGGGGAGAGCACATAGGATGGGTTGGAGTGAATGGAGAGATAAGGAATGGAAGCAAGGGGAAGGGATGGAGTAGAGAGGCAATAGAGGGAAAAAAGAGATAGGGGGAAAACCTGGGAGAATAAGAGAGGGGGAAAGAAGAGATCTACGGGAAGAAAGCGGGAAGGATAATTCAAGAGAAGAAGGAAATATATGGATATAAGAGGGAAAAAGATAGAGACGATGAAGAGAGAGGCAGAAGAAGGGAAGGGGATAGAACGAAGGTTCGGTGAAGAAAGAGAGGGACGCTCAGGGGAGAATAGTTTGGAGGGGGAGGAGAGAAAAGGGAAGACGCAAGAGAGAGTGAGACTTCAGGGTAGTGAGTGAGTATTGCGTCACGAGAACGACAGACACGACATAATGACTACACCGTGATGTAATCAGATACTCTCATGCAGACTTAACGGAGCACGAGCGCCCCGCCGCACATCGGAAGATTGGGTATAGGCCGGGGTAAGTGTTAGAGGTATACTGTAATATATATAACTGCGGATAAGACGAACGATGTATAATGAATAATAAGGATGTAACAATACGATGTAGGTGTATAAGGGTTTATATACTCATATACATTATATATTACTATATCATATCTATAAAACTATTACTATATGTATTATATTATACATATCAACATAATATATAACTAAGTCATAACTATAATCCATAATTATCACTCATATACGGTAGTACAAATTATAATATATATAGCTATAGTGATATATATTACAATATACTAGGCGCATATACTATCAATATAATAATCACAGCAAATAATACACAAATATAAAGAGACAGGTATATTAATATAGCAAATATTAAGCATTTCAATATATATACATGATATATATATAATATATAGTATATATATAGGGGTATATCTATAAATAACAGAGTGATGTGTGTAGGTGTGTGTGGTCGCAGGAGTGTGTGTGTGTGGATATGTGTATAGTATATATTAATAGAACTTACATGCGTTTTGTGTTTCTAAAGTGAATACCGTAGCTGCAGGTTGTTAGTTTTAACTTAAAAATATACGATATAAGTAAAGAAATTATAGAGAGAACATGAGTTACTTTAAGAAAGCATCGATAAAAATCAGGTGTTTTTTGTATTAAAAGTAGATATATAGTGTTATAGCTCGTGTACCTAAAACAGCTGTAAAAAATGTAATATTACATAATAATCATATACTAATAGGCCTAGTTATGACTAACTTTATATACATCCTCACTACGACCAATGTGTACCACTACTAACGCAAACAGTCAATTGACACTTATACATCCTAAGAGATATAGAACGGTATACATATTACATAGTAGCATGTGATAACAGAACACATCACACACACTAGCATCATTCACATATTCACAACGACACACGACACAACACACACATATATATATATTAATATATTATATTATAGATAAGATATAAATTATATGTGTATATACGGTACTATGTTATAGTAGTATATGATGCCGTCGATGAAAAAGAAGAAAGGTTCAATATGTAGCCTATTGATATAAACATATTGTAAGAGTGTAGACTATTTAATAGTAGATATAGTCTATAGTGTAGTATAGCAGAGTACTGACAACACACAAAACGAGTTCTAAAAGGGAATGGGGACTAGTTCCTCCGTCTACTGCACTAGACCAGACCGACATAAAACACCACATCGCAACTAGACACTAAGATCTAATGACAGTTTATGTGGGCTGTAATGCAGAGCATGACACGCACAGAACAAGACGCCATATTGAACTGAAGCACAATTTTCTTAGATATTTGCTTTGTACTAGACTCATCCAGTATTGTAATATTTATGTTTGCTCACAACTCACTCACAAACACACACACAACACACACACATATTTAATATAATTCAACTCTCATATATAAGCACGCAATATATATAACATATATATATGTTCACATTATAATCACTCAACACACGTGCACAGTAATATAGTATTATATTACGTAGGTAAAGCTATATGTATAGTATATATAGTATATATTAGGTGGTATATGCTGGCGTGTGGTCCTTGTTGTTATGCTACTCGTTGATAATGTGCCACATATCACTCATGTATGCTCCATATGGTAAGGATTATGTAAACTCTAGGTAGGTCATTATTACTAAAATCGGGCGTTTGTCAGCCACGCACAACACTTACAGCTGAGTTCTCCGACATACAAATTAGAGATATATATAGAGATAGATAGAGAGAGAGGGCGCGCTCAGCCTAGATGCCATAGTCACATGTGATCGCTCCGTAGAGTGGCCTAAGTGATAGCGCATGAGGGAAGGAGTAGATATAGTTTTAATGTCCGTAACAGAGAAACAGCTGATGATTCACGATAATACTAGACATGAACTGAGGATAAGAGCCTAAATAATGAGTCTGAAGGTCAGGTGGACTCTTCGGCGTGCCGGAGGACCCGGAGTCGGGGAGATTGGTTCTGATGATGTTAGATGCGGGCAGAGGGAAGGATTTGATCGGGATGGACGCACACACAAATTACACACGGAGCGGGCCTCACCCCCCCCCCTACCCACAAAGTACAAAATGATGTTACTCCCACACACACAAATACATGGGGTGGCCGGATTATATGAAGCCAGAGATACCGGGAGTTCTATTCGCCGTCTCCGGGTGAGGAGAGGTGCAAGGCTACGGGAGGGAGATGTTTGGAAGTAGCGGGAGATGGGATGTCTTCACCGGTGAACTGGGAAAAAAAGTGATGGTTCGCTTGGGGCAGCTGATGAAAAGAGTGCTTTATAGATGGAACAAACATAGGATGGGCAGAGGGGAACTTGAGAATGGCCGGGCGCCGGAACTGACCACACTCCAATTACACCTCACAAATTAACACACGCGCGCAAGAGAGATAATATATGTTCTCTCACATTACAACACCGCAACCCCCACCCCCACACACACACGCCCTCACACTCGCAACATAAAACCCAAGATCCCTTTATATATTTAGTGATCCTGTGTCGGCCAAGATCTGCCTAACACCTGTATTTGACGCATGGACAATATAACTCATGATGATGCTGGCTTTTCCTCCCTGCACTCTCATCTTTTGTCAGTGTATCTTCATTTCCTGTGTCCTGTTTGCCTGCATTTTGTTTTTCTGTCTCCCTCCCTCTTTCTCTGTCTGTCTGTGTCTGTATGTGTCTCTTTCTCTCCCCCTCCCCTCTCCTCTCGCTCTCTCTGTCCCTTTCCCTCCCCTCTCCCTCCTCTCCTGCATCCATCCACCCTTTTCTTTCCTCTCACTTTCTTTTCCCCTCACCCTCCCCCAGCATTCTCCGGAGTCTCTCCTTCTCTCTCCATTCCTCCTCTCCATCTCTCCCTCCCTCCACCTTTATCGTCGCTTCACACTTTACCATCAAGTCCAATTTCGTGATCCTAGCAGTGCATTGTGGGAACTATGGTGGGGCATTGGCTGATGGCCACATTGCTGAAGACACCTCGGAGAAACTTGCCTTCACGCCTGCCTCCCTCCTCCCCCTAATCTATGATCTATTTTTTTTTCTTTTTTTTTTCTGTCCCATTCCCTTATTTCCCCTGTGCTCGTTACATAAAGCCTCACTGTTTGCCTCATTGGCACGTTCTCGTTCTCCATGCGATATTGTTTTTGGCCTTGTCGGTTATAATGGGACGAATTCTAAACGACCCATAACTTTTTCTCTCTTTCCATATACGAGTAGACAATACATATAAACGAATGGATGTATACGGTCATTTAAAGATACCCATTGCAACCCACGAAGCAAAGTAAAAGTTAAGAATGATATATCAGCCTCACTCTTTTCTCATGTCTGTACATGGACACAAACAAATTGATAGTTCTACACGCTACCTAAGCACAGCTTACGAAACTAATAATACCACAGTTACATGACTAAATCTCCTTTTATCAGAAATCGTAGACAAAGTACTGTTGGCCGAGAAGCCAAGATTCACTTGCCCTAACAGCTGCAAGCATTCAC